TCTCTTTGCTGTCTTAAGAGTTGTTTTGGAAATGGTTAAGTGACCATGCAGTGATGGAAAGTTGGCCTATAGTAAATCTGACAGTTTACTCCAGAGCTTTGCTTTCAAATATGCTCTTTAAGAACTGTGTTTGGTGTTTTTTCCCATAGTAAGAGCAGATTGCAAAAGACTTTTGAGTCTTGAAAAATATCCCTTTTGGTTTATGGTTGTGGGAATTTGCTGGGAATATGTTCATGACTTTCACATTTTTTTTTAGCAGAATGAATTGTTTTCCTTACCTTCTCATGCTATATTTGTAAGAAAAATAATAAGTAGATAGAAAGAAGGAAGGTACATGCAACAACTAACCTAGAAGAGAAATAACATGATCATTGAAATCTAAAAGGCAGGAAGGATTCAATCTTTGGGCTCACCTATAATTTGTGCACCATAAATGTAGAAGGAAGTCAGCAGGGACTTTTTAATGACAGTGCTGTCTATGACAGTATCATCAAGAAAGACATTGGCATAAATCATTGGCACTTTGCAAAGTGTCACTTCTGTCAACCTTCTAGTGATGTGATCTTTAGTCTTTCAAATCCATAGACTGGCATTTGGATCAGCTAAGCATCTCACATCCTGTCTTGCAATATTAAAAGCCCTTTTAGCCAATATTGTAATGCTGAAGTAATGCATGTTTTAAACTATTTTTAAGCAACTGACCTAATAACTAAGCTTTGCTCTTGGTATAGCTTGCAGAATTTCCTGTTTGCAAATGCAAATGAGGCCATTATTCATTTTAGGAAGTTCCCCAGGGAAAATAAAAGATAAATGAAGCAGTGGTGATTTTTATATAATTTCAAAGGATTTTATTAGTAAAGCTTTTATTTGCAGTTCAAAGGCAGTTTTACTTTTAATTCAAGAAAACGTTTTTTTGTTAAAGTGATTGATTTTTAGTTGGATGAACTTTACAAAAACAGATATAGATAGGTGTGGTGGCACAGGCCTGTTATCCCAGAGATTCTGGAGGCTGAGGCAGGAGGATCACAAGTTCAAGGTCAGCCTCGGCAATCTAGCGAAGCCCTAAGCAATTTAGTGAGACCCTGTCTCAAAATAAAATGTAAAAAGAATTGGGGATGTGGCTCAGTGGTTAAGAACCCCTGGGTTTAATCCCTTGTACCAAATATAAATAGATAAATAAAAACAGAAATAATGACATTGATGAACAAAATTACTCTTAGCTAGATGAAATAAAATGAATCCATGTATGTACATAATAAGATGGAAATCTATATACTGTAATTTAATTTGAATGAATTCTTGCTCTCAACAGAATTGCTTCTTCCATTTATGGAGTTAAAGTACTGTAGAACTTGCCTTGGTGTTTAGAGATTCTGGAATTAAACTGAAAAAAAATTGTAGAGGCAGGAATATAGCTGATTTCATACCTCCTTATTATATTATCATCATTTTTTTTCTGATTACAGTTCTTTGAGAAAACTTAATTTGGAGTAGTCAACCAGGTGGTTTGGAGTTACAACATTGTTGTTTAATTTCACTGTTTTAAAATTAAGACTCAGGGCTAGGGATATAGCTCAGTTGGTAGAGTGCTTGCCTTGCATGCATAATGCCATGGGTTCAATCCCCAGCACCATATAAATAAATAAAATTAAATTAAGATTCAATTTTTTAGGACAATTTTGGGCTCATGGAATAATTAAGAGAAGTTATAGAGATTTCCCATACATCTCTTGCCTCCATATATATTTATTTTCCCCTATTATCAACATCCCCCCAGCCCCAAATGGTAGATTTGCTACAATTGAGCATACATCATTATTACCCAAAGTCCATAGTTTACATTAGGGTTTACTTTTTTTTTTTTTAATTGTCTTCCAGGACTGATGATTGAACCCAGGGCTCATGTATGCTAGGCAAGCACTCTATTAAGGAGCTACACTCCCAAACTTTAGGGTTTACTCTTGATATACATTCTAGAGGTTTTATATTATATATGATAATATATATATTATCATATGTATCTACCGTTATAGTATCATACGGAGTATTTTCACTGCCCTATAAATTCTCATGCTTTGCCTGATCCTCTCTTCTTCCCGGCCCCTGGCAACTATTAATCTTTTTTACTGTTTCCATTATTTTATCTTTTCCAGAATATAACATAGTCAGAATCTTACATATAAACCTTTCCAGATTGACTTCTTTCACTTAGTAATATACATTTAAGTTTCTTCCTTGTCTTTTCATAGAGCATTTCTTTTTTAGCAGTGAATAATATTCTATTGTCTGGATGTACCACAATTTCTTTATCCATTCACCTGCCAGAGGACATCATGGTAGTCCCCAGGTTTTGGCAATTAGGAATAGAGCTGTTATAAACCATCTATTTGCCGGATTTTGTGGGGATGATACGTGTTTAACTTCTTTGGGCAAATACCAAGGAGCATGATTTCTGAATCATAATTTAGGTTTATGTAAAAAGCTTTTGTAAAACTGCCAAACTGTCTTCCAGAGTAGCTATACTATTATTTGCATTCTCATGAGCAATGATTGGGAGTCCCTGTTGCTCCATATCCTCATCAGCATTTGGTGTTGTCAGTGTTCTGGATTTTGGCTATTCTAATTAGGTGTGTAGTGGTAGCTCATTGTCATTTTAGTTTGCAATATTATGTGGAGCATCTTTTCATATGGTTATTTGCCATCTGTCTGTCTTCATTGGTGAGGTGTCTGTTAAGGGTTCATTTGAATTGGGTTGTTCATTTTCTTAAAGTTGACTCTTATGAGTTGTTTATGTTTTGGATAATAGTACTTGATTAGATATCTTTTGAAAATATTTTCTCATTCTCTTGATAGTATCTTTCATAGAACAGATTTTTTTTTCCTCTCTTTTGGTGCTAGAGATTAAACCCAGGGCCTGGCTCTTGCTAACCATGTTCTCTACTATTGAGATGTAATCCTAGTCCCAGGATTTGTTTTTTCTTTTTCTTTTTCTTTTTCTCAGTACTGGGGACTGAACCCAGTCCCAGAAATTTTTCATTTCATTTATTTATTTGTTTTTTTATGATACTAGGGATTGGTACTCCTTACAACTGAATTACATCCCAGCCCTTTTTATTTCTTATTTTGAGACAGGATCTCTCCCTGTTACCCAGGCTTTCCCAGCACTGTGATCCTCCTGCCTCAGCCTGCCACTATGCCAGGCTGAAATTTTTAATGTAGTTAAGCTTATCAATTTTTTCTTTCATGGATTGTGCTTTTGGTGTCGAAACTAACATTTCATCATGAAACTCAAGATCATCTTGATTTTCTCCTGTTATCTTCTAGGAGTTTCACAGTTTTGTATTTTACATTTAGGTCTGTGATCCATTTTGAGTTTAATTTTAGTGAAGAGTGCAAGGTGTGTATCTAAATTCTTTTTTTTGTGTGTGTGGGGGGCAGGTGTGTATCCAGTTGTTCCATTGTATTTGTTGTCTTTGTTCCTTTGTCAATGATTGTTTGACTATATTTAAGTGGATCTATTCCTGGGTTGTCTATTCTGTTCCACTGATCTATTAGTTTATTCTTTCACCAATACTATACTATCTTGATTTCCTGATTGTTTTAGAGTAAGTCTTAAAGTCAGACAGTATCAGGCACCCAATTTTTTTCTCCTTCCAGATTATATTGCTTATTCTGGAACTTTGGCCACTCTGTATAAACTTTAGAACTAGTTTTCTGATATCCACAAAATTATTTGCTGGGATTTTGATTGAAATTGTATTGCATCTCTGTATTATAGATATGCATTATAGATATGAATTTTAGATATGCATTATCTCAGGAAGAGAACTTGGAAGCATGCTCCTGGTATTCCCAGAATTTTTGTTCTTATCACCATCACTATTACTCCTTTTCCCCTAGTGTCATTCCTTAGGAATATAATATCCTTTCAAAATTGTGCCACAGAATTACAGTGTCTCAGTGTTCTTGGACAAATCAGATTTGTTCTGTTCCCTTGGTTTCCAAGGAGAGCAGAGAAGGATCCACATAAAAAATTAAGGTGGCAAGAGGCCTGCCGTTTCAACCCAAGCTAAAGGAGCTTCTAAGCTTTTCCTAGATTCTCAGAGTATCATTGAGATAGTCAGAATCCCGTTGACCCAGTAACCCAAGGCAGGAGAAGAGGTTATATTTTTCCTTAGGATCCATCCAATTTCAAAGGCATTTTTGTAATAGAAATACCCTTAACAACAAAAACAACCCCCCCCCAAAAAAAAAAGAAAGAAAGAAAAGAAAAAAGAAAAAGAAAGAAAGAAAAAATAGCCAAACAAACGAAAACCTTTAAAATATCATAGGGCTCTTCAAAAGACAAGATATTTTCAAAAATTGCTAAATGTCTGCTTCATTTTTCTATCTGCTTATTTGTGGCATGTTTGCATTTGAATCTTGGCTGTCTGCCTCCAAAGTGACTGAACATTAGCAGAAACAATAAAATGTTAGCTCCTCTGTTTGTATTTTTAAAAAATTTGTTGTCTTTGTTCTTATGTATGGGCCTGTTCCTTTGTTCATAGCAAATTCTGTCTTTATAGGAAACAAGCACGTTATTCTCTTCCAAAGCTAAGTTTAGCAGAACAGTTTTTCACTGGACAAGGTACTAAGCACCCAGTTTCAATTTCAACTCTGCCCATAACCCTGTGTGGAATTAAAATGGAGAGAAAGTGAAACAACAGAAAATAGGGAAGCAAATAAAAGAGATTCTAGTCCTTTGCTCAGCTATGTGACTGACCTTCTTTGAGATCTCCTATAAACAGCTCTATTTCAACCTTCTAGTTATCATTTTATAACTAGAGCATTCCTTTTCACCACAGAGGTGCTTAAGGGTTTTGAAAATTCCAAATGAAAAGACCTTGTCAATCTGACTGGTTTTACCCAGACCTAATTGTACATCAAACTACAGATAGTGCTAACACTGTAGCTTAGAGTGTAGACCTGATTGCCCTAGATTTGCTCCTCCTTTTTCCTGTATGGCCGGGGTTACAGGAGGGCAGACACCCTGTAGGCTGCACTCCCCTGGCATCTGGGTGGTCAAGAGAAAGGAAGAAACCAGTTCTTCCTCTCACTCCTTCTGTGCCTCAGGCAGCTACACTAGGAGTCCTGGCTCCTCTGAACTTCCAGCAGTGGTTCTGGCTCCTATGAACCAACTCTACTCCCTGGATCTGGTAACACAGCCTCAGCTCTTGACCTTGCAGGTTAGCGGATGGGAGAACAGGAGTTTCCTGCTTTTGCTGCTCTCTACTGCATTTTCTCTTCAGTCACTCATATAATCCATTTCCTGTTTCAAATACTTGCAGTGGCTTGTTTATGTGATTGAAATCTGAATAATTCACATATCTATGAAGGTCAAGGAAAATTATTTTATCTTATCTTTTCCCAAAAGAAGAGAAGAAAGAAGGAAGGAAGGAAGGGACATCAGTTTATTTCTGCTTCTTCTTAAGACCTTCTCAGGCCCCCGTTACTCTGTCTGTACTTAAATGCTGGAGGCAGCCCGTTCATGTGGTTTCAGTGTCCTTTTCAGACTGAAACCAACAGCTGTAAGTAGGCTGGGCTTCGGGGATGAAGGAGGAAGAAACCCAAGAACCACTTGTAGAAGGATCCCAGGCAAACTCAGACCTTCTGGAACTGGGAACTCTGTAATTTCTAACTAGGTTCAGGTTCCTCCCTGATGGCCTGGTATCCCATTTCTTGCTTTTTTTCCCACCCCACTTCCCATATATATCCTCCCAAACTCTCCACTAACCCTCCTAGATTTTTATTTATTTATTTATTTTTTTGGCATCAGAGATTGATCCCAGGGGTGTTCCACCACTGAGCCACATCCCCAGCCCTTTTTATTTTTTATTTTGAGACTTCCACTAAGTCGCTGAGGCTGGCCTAGAACTTGCAATACTCCTGCCTCAGCCTCTTGAATCACTGGGATTACAGGCATGTACCAAGGTGCCTGGACATTTTGACAGATTAAAGGGGACTAGAAAGGTATTTTGCACACTGTCCCTCAATTGGTCTAACCCATTTCTCATGATGAGACTGGGACTTGGGGAGGAAAACTACACAAGTAAAGCATGATTTTCACTGCATCTCGTCAAGGGTGCATAGATCAACATGACATCTGTGTTGGTGATAGTCTTTGTCACCTGGCTGAAGTGGCTTATATCAGATTTCTCTACTGTGAAGTTACTCTCATTTTCCCCTTTCCATACTGTTAATGTTAGAGTCTGTAAACAAGTCAGGATGGCTCCTGGCATTTTGCCAGAGAAATGTTAGAGTCTGTAAACAAGTCTGGATGGCGCCTGGCAAAATGCCAGAGGGAGTGGTTTGTGAAGTAACACCAGCGAGCCATTAAGTGTGGAGATTTCTTATTGGTTGACTGATGTATCTATTTTATGTTAATTAAGATAAGCTGTGTGGAATGTATAAATACCTCTGTTGTCCTACAATAAACGGCTCCTACTCCTGCTGTATCAATCTACACAAGTTGTTCGTCACCCCCCGGTTATTTTGCTGCAGCCGGGCTGAGGCACCATACTGTACTCTTGAAAATAAATTGCTCCGCACAGGCCATATTAAATAGTGGGCAGTTATACTCCACTTCTTTGAGGGTAGAATATTGACATATATTACTGGGAATTCTAACTGGGAGATTTGTCTATTATTCTTCTACTTATTTATTTATATCAGTGTGGACTCATATATATTTACTATTAATCTGGGTTATAATACTATAGTACTTTAGTTAGTTGCTTAAATTGTTCCAGCTTTGGCTACTGGGGAATCTTTGGCTATTGGTTCCTGGGGCCCCTTGATGTACTCAATCCTTGTGGGGTTTTTGAGCACTTCCTCACTGTCTGGCACTGTAGGACACTCTAGGCACACCTTGAGTGTTTCCTGACCTAAAAATCAGCTATTTTTCCAGGGAGCCCTGGTTCCTTCTATGGGAGAATGTTATTAGAATCCAAGGTCTGGGTGTACTTATTGCTATCTCTATGTCCCTACTCCTTTTTTATCCCTTTTGTAATCAGAGTGGACCAGCAATTCTTGAACCTGAGGCTCCAAGTTCTTTTTTTTTTTTTTCTTTACTCTGAAGATAATTTGCCTAGCAATAAAGCTCAAAATGTCAAAGCAGAAAAAAAAATGGTTGTTTGGGTTTAGGTTAGATCATTTTGGGGACTATCATAGATTAAGAGATTGGATCAAATGACTTCAAGTGTCACATCCACTGCTGAGGTTCTTTGCTATTTTATTCTAATGGCTTGATGTAGGATGGCACTCTACTTACTTTTTAGATGAGATGAGATGAGAGAGATGAGAACATGGTGTGGGATGGGGAGTACACTGGTGTGGTGGGAGTCGGGAGTTATTTTATGCCAGATTGGAAAAGGTTGGAACTATATGGGGGTGCCGGCCTGCTGGAATACTAGGCCACATTTCTTTAGGCTGAAGTAGCCATTTTATTTAAGAAACCAGACTGATCTATCTAATGTTCTGTAATACATGTTAGAGAAAGGCTATTCAGAGTGAAGTTGGCTGTGATGGCAGAGAAATGGCAATGATGTGCCAGGTAGGTGGTTGATTCCACTAGGGGTCAAGGCTGGGGTGCCAATTTCTGTTCTGTTTCTTCATCAATACATGCATCCTTCTCTTTATTACCTAGTGGACGTAGACATTCAAGTCAACTCCTAGTATTTTAAATACGCTGTATAAAATTAAGTCTGAAGTGGACTGTATAGACTCACTTTCCTTCATAACATTCTGCTCCTATTAGATTTCAAGCAATGTTAGAAAGCCCTAGAGGAAGTAGAAAAATGATATATGTAACACAGTTGCCTCACTGGATGATTGTATGTACATGTATAATCTCACTGTCTGGGGCTAGAAGACTATAGAAGTACATCACCAAGAGAATAAAACCTTCCAAGTCTTGTCTTTGATCCCTGCTGACCTGGAGAGCACCAGTCTTAGATCATCTTCTGAAGGCCCCAGTCACCTAGGCCGTACTTTCCCACCAGTCCTGCTCTTTTTCTTCCTCGGAGTTCAGTCTCTGTGAAGGCTTTCACATATCAGTAAAGGAACCAGAAGAATCAATAAAGGAACCAGATGATTTGGCATGAGCCACTTTCTGGGGATGTGGTGTCCCCTAAGGCACCTGATTCACCCCAGAACAAATGAGAAGTCTTCACCTGCCCATTTCAGAACTTTAAGGAAGGAACTTGACATATTTCAGAACTTTAAAGAAGCAAAGAGAGCTGGGTAGTCCTGCTTGGGAAGCATCCTTCCTCTGGAGCATCCATCTGAGCTCCATCCTCAGCCTGAGATAGGGGTCCTCAGCCTGGCAACTTTGACCCCCACTGGAAATTTGAAACTATCTGGAGACATTTTTGGTTATAAACAAAATCAGAGTTAGGGGATGCTACTGGTACCTTGTGGGTAGAGCCATTCAGTAAGGTGTTAGACACCCCTGACAACAGAAAATTTTCTAATCCAAATGTTACAGTGCTGAGATTGAGAAATGTTGGGCTAATGGGACCCCTTGCATGTCTCAGAGAGTAAGCTGAGTTGAGGAATTGGGAGGTTTCCAGGTAGACAGATTTTGGGCGTTCCTGTGGTTATACAGGGATGGAAATTTAACTGTTCGTTGTTGATAAATATTGATAAAGAGAAAGCAAGGTGAACTTGATTTGTTTGAAAATTGCTTCCATTATTTAAACTTTTGAATTTTGAATGATCTACAAAACTGCAATAGAATAACCCACTAAGCAATCATATCCCTCTTGGTGATATGGGCACAGTGACAGCTCCCGCCTTCCACGGGTGATGCCAAGGGTTCACGCATGCAAAGCACCAAGAACTGGGTCTGGCATGGCTTATCAGAAGGTTCTCAATTAATGTTAGCCCTTATGCATACTCATGGTATAAAAACAAATAAATTCATTCAGTATGAAACTGAGGTCTTATGAAGTCTCTAAAAATCTTTAAATCAAAATTGTTTGATTAAGCCTTTTCTTTGGTATGCACAGTGATTGCCAGGAGCCGGCATCATTTGAGGGCTCAGTTTGTCTGTATGAGGACTGTTAAGACATTAGCTTGCACTAACTAGAATTTAGCACCTAATGATATTCTTGGTCGTCTTCCTGATTGAAGAGAGGGGCTCAGGATGGACTAGTCAGCCAACTAATCCATTTTGATTAACACCCATGAGGGTTGAGACATCTCTCTGTTATACCCCAAGACATCACGCAGTGATTGTTCCTCTGTCTTGTCTTTTCCTGGGCAACCAAATAAGGATTCTCCAGATAAAGAAACACTATAGGACATACTTTTTGTTTACCTGATTTGCTGCTGATGTCTGTTACTTTCCTACCTCAGACCCACAGATTAGGTGTGTGGAAGACACATACAGCTGTGTTTTGCACAAAAAGAAACTTGTAATTTTTCACCAACAGGATGGAAAGACGGCAGAGGATCTTGCTAAATCAGAACAGCATGAGCACGTGGCTGGTCTACTTGCCAGACTCCGAAAGGTGAGAAATTCTGTTCATCTATAAGAAATTCCATTTGTTTGTTTGTTTATTTTCTGTGGTGCTGGGGATTGAACCTAGGAGCTTGCACGTGATAGGTAAGAGTCCAACCATTGAACTACCTCCCCAGCCCTCTACCTATTCTTATTTTAAAAATTCTCAGACTTCCCCACGTTAATTATTAGAGTGAATAGAAGGAAGCTTTGGACATAGGTTTTAGCAAGAGCATCTGTCCCTGTCCTATGGTTTACACATCAATTTGGTATAAGTACATAAGCTCCCCATTTAATTTCTTCTCCCAGAGGTAGACTTGAAAAATAATTCAACTTTTTAACCATTGCTGTGTCTGGTCTTTATCCTGTACTAACCATTTCCATAAAGTAGAGGGGAAATGAGAAAGATGACTGCTTTTTTCCTTTGTGTTTTGAGTTTCCAGGAATCACTTATGCTCCTGTTTATCAAACATTGTTACTCTGAGGTTTATAGAAACATGACAAAAAATAAGTAAATGCAGATGTACCCTTTGCAGCCCACCTCATACATAGCAATTTCATCAAGAGTCTTCCAAATAGACCCTTTAATCTAGGTACAAAATGTTCTTGTTGTAGGCACAAAATGTTCACTTTGGTGTTATTTAAATTGAATAGGTCATAATTGGAAGAGTAAAATGCATAGAGAAATCCTGGGCTTCAAAGTAAAAGATAAATTCTATGCACATTATAATTCCTACTATGTTAAAATGCTTAGAAAGAAAATAACAGTGGTATCTTTTATTTTTGCTATTGTGAGTTAACATTTTTTAAAAACACTACTGTATAGCTCCAAGTTTCCTCTAATGATCATGAAAATAATTTTCACAAAACAAATTTTCTACAGAAATAAATAGATAAATTAGTTGATTGTCCAAGACATGCTCTGGATACCCCACAGTGTTCCTGACATATAGCCCAAAGAGTACCTGCCACAGAAAGTTTGTTGTCATACCTTTGACGTCCACTAGAAGATTGAATTTTCATAGTTGTCCCATGGTCTTGGAGGGAGGTTATAGATAGATTGTAGTAGTTTCTTTCTTTGTATGGAATTTAGATTTGGAAATAACCAACTGTTTCAAGTGTATATATATATATATATTTAAAACCCTTTGAAGTTCACCTGATGGAGAGAGAATGTCATGGATCATTATTTTCACACCCTTCTGCTTTTGATGCTGTGAGGGGCCACAAAGGCACCAGGTAGATGTTGGGTCAACTCCTGGGCCACTGGAGTAACTCCATTTCCCCTGTTTTCTCAAGATTCAAGAGAGAAGTCTAGAAAAACTTCCCCAGCTTAACTCACCTGTTCATACAGGACACAAGTAAAGTCATTGTCAGCTAAGTGTTTTCTTGCTTGTGCACTGTGGACTGTCCTTCTGTGAGTGACAATTTGGATTAGAAAAACAGAGAAAACTTTTTGTTTACAAGCAAAATAAGGTAGATAATGAACTTTTAACATGAAATTTCCTAATTTTTAAATTCATCTTATTGAAGCAATGTCAGCAGCCTAACAGAACATAGCCCCGGTCCCTGTTTGCAATTTCTGGTTTTTGCTGGATTATATAGTTGGTAACCTTATGTCGGGTGTAGAATCTTATGTTTATAGACAGACTGTTCAGATAAAAGGACTATTTTCAATTGGTTACCCACCATCTACCAATAGTAGACTGGTGCCTGGCACCACCCACACACCTATAATCTCTGAGACTCAGGCGGCTGAGGAAGGAGGATCAAAAATTCAAGGCCAGTCTCAGCAACTTTGTGACACCCTGTCTCAAAAAAGCCTGGGGATGTAATTCAGTGATAAAGTGCCCCTGGGTTCAATCCCTGGTAAAAACAAACAAACAAACAAAAAAAACACGAAAGTTATGCTGTTTTTTTCACGGGGTGGATAAGCACAGATTATTGGCCGCTCACTACTGGGTCTCTCTAGTGTCCACTGATAGAAAGTACACTTTGCTAAGACTAGAAAGGGTTTTGGGAATAGGCATACCACTTTCATTACATATGTAAATATGTATGTTAAGGTATTCTTAGATTTCCAAAACTCCACAGAGATATTTCAGCTCCCCTGCAGCCCCTGGTCTAGCTAGGATTTCTGAAGATCAATGTTGTTCCTTCCCAGATGTTTGCTGGCCCTTGCTCAGCTCCCACAGAGGGCAGCACTTTTTACACTCAGACTGGAAAATGCAGTGGCTTTGTTCATACTTGGCCTGGAGTGCTGATCACCATCTCAGAAACTCCCATGGGAATGGGCAGTCAGTTTATCTTTTAAGCAAAAATTAGCTGAAAAATCATGGCTTCCAATAATCCAGCACAAGAGACAACTTCCTTTGGGAGAGAGATAGATATTTTATAGCATTCTGCTGTGTTTTGCTGCCATCTCCTTCTAGGAATGGTCTTTTCTTTTATTTAAAAATAGATTGCCAGGCTGCATGCAAACCCAGATGTTCACAGCAAAAACAGACTTGAAAAAAATGAGGAATTTTGTTCAGGGGGGAAAAAAATTTAAAAAAGACATAAAAGGAGAGCTTCAAAATAATGCCAGGTTTGGACTGGGATTGGTACAGTAAAAGGTCTTTCTCCCTTAATCTATTACCAAATTTTCTGCACCATTCTTAGATTATTTCTATAATTAAAATAAATAAAAGAAGCCTGTGGAGTGCTCCATCCATGTGTTTTAGGAAAGGGTGGCTGTTTTCCAGCTTAGAATTTTGAATTTAATATGATGTGCGTTCCTGCACTGTCTCAGTTTCTCCTATTGATTGTCACCATTGTGCTTTTGATATCTGAGTTTTAAAAAGAATGCTGGGAGGGGGAATATTACAATATTTAGTATTTTATCATTATCCTGTGATTTTTCTCCAAAGGAAAATCAACACAAAGAACATTAATTTTAATGCTCCTGATTGAAAGACATTATCTTTCTTGCACTTAGAACCCAAGGAAAAAGTCTCCCCTTCCTTTTCTCTTTAAGAGGCACAATACAGGCTAGCAGCGGAAGAGTGGAGACTTGGGTGTACAACAGCCTGGGTTCCCATTCCCTCCTTTCGAAGGTCTTGCTGGGCAACCCAAGAACTTACAAGCTCTTTGTCTCTGTGTCCCCTTTTGTCCAGTGGATTAAGTGTGGTGCCATCTTCCAGTAAGGGTCAGATGGGTTGCTATAAATGATGTCCTGAGAACAGTACCTGCACACATAATTGCCATGTGTTGCAGTCGTGATAGACTGTAGAGCACTGTAGTCAAGCCCCTGTAGAGCACTCTTGGAGTAGATGTTAAGGTGTGGCAATTGTGGTGGGGACCCAGGAGATTCATCTGTGATAGTAATCATTTTTAACTCTCAATATGTTTGGCCAGCACTGTAATTTTACAATAGTCCCATGGTTCACAGAGGAGGATGTCCCTGAGGGAAGTCTGGCATCCAAGAGGGTGAGCAACATGCTAATAAGTGCAGAGATGCAATTGAGACCTGAGGTAGCAGTCTCTGCTTTTAGTGCCTTTCAGCCAGCACAGGGCTGCTGTGGTGTTGATGCCTTACCACTGAGCACAATGGTATTTCTAGATACCTTGCTGAGCCTGTACAGAGCAGCCCTGCCTTGAATCAGATCACACTTTGTCTCCCAGTGGGGTGGGCCAGGCTTCTGTTCCCTTCAGCAGCATCTTCTTCTTCTAGAATTCCTATTCTTTTGTATTTATTTGCCTTCGCCTTCCTTCAAATCACTTGACTTCAGATTCCTGATGAGCCAGAAGAGGAGGAGTGATCTGCTGAGCATTTCTAATTGCATTCTATCTTATTTTGGTTTTCTTTGTTATTTGAATATTTTTAGAGTAAGTCCCAAAATAAATAACTAATTGACACTTAGGTACACCTGGATTCTAGAATTTGAATATTGGAAATGATCAAGCTGTGAAAACAGCATCCTTGGAGACTATATGGGGATGAGGGTTCTAGGTTGCATTGGGAGCAGCCAATACCTGCTGAGAAAGCCAAGGCAATATATAATTTGCAGTTATAATTTGGGTCACCTGGTGGAAGAGACTGTTCACAACCAGGATACAATGGGGTTCCAGAGAGAAGAGAATATATTACACTTCGGATAATTTAATATCATTTTTCTGTCAATGATATTTGTCCTCAATATTTTCCAGTGTCTCTTATATGTGTGCCATTGGTGTTTTTTTTTGGTGGCATCTAACATCACAGCATGCTTTCTCCACCTTCATTGTGAAAACGAACAAGCAAAAACAAAACAAAATAAACAAACAAACAAAAAAATCCTGCCTCCACACACTCCCTGAAACCCCTCTGCTGGTACTACCTTCTGTAAGTCACCATAGATTGATTCCGAAAACATTCATGGGAGAAATCATTATCTGGGAAAGCCAGAGTGTCACCATTCTATTTAGTTTCCATGGGGGCCAATTAGCAAAACCAATGCCTCCTATGTTTTTACCTCTCATCAGTTGACATTGCCTAGGAATGGATTTTTGAACATTTGCTGGGTTTGGCTTTTGAAAATGATAAACAGACCCTCTTTTTTATCTGCCAGCAGAAGAAGGCAGAAGAGCAGGAGAGGTGTTTTCCTTTATTAGGTAATTCAAGGGTTGACCCATGGGGTCATAGAGTTTGTGTTAGTGTATTCAAGGGACCCAAGTGATCCCCCCACCCAACTCTGGGTGGTGTGGGGTCTGAGGGATGGCCAGGCCATGAAGAAGGAAGAATATGGGGAAGGGCTGATCTGTGTAGTTTACTCTGGTTCAGTTCAACATGGAGTGAATTGGGGCAGTAGGTGCTGGAACCTGTGGTTTTGTCCCTGAGAATGGTCTATCCACATCTCTTCCCAACTTGGTGACATGACAGTAGGGTCTTGAAGTCAGTCCTGGTGGAGCATTTACACCCTAGAAATCAGAAATCCTGCAAATCAGGTTTCCACTTTCCCGTTGAGCTAGCTTACCAGGACACTCTTCCTT